ATTATCAGCTAAGAGTGAGAATGGGGAATGAAGTGGGTGGTTTGAAAGAGAAAATGTATAAAATTGTCAGCTATGAGAACGGAAAAGCAGGACTAGGGAAATATAGTATAATTGCTGAGCAGCATTAAGTCCCACTTGATGTTCCTGGGAAGGAATTTATAGGGAGACTAGTAGGCATGACTGTGTATTTCCTCCAGCTATGTTTAGCCTGACAAGTGTAGACAAAGAATAAGTGGAGAATTGGATTTGAGCAGGGTGTCATTCACCAAGCCAATATTAGAAATTGAGAAGGATCAAGTGAGAAGAAGGTGTGTGCAAGAAGTGATTGTAATGCTGCACCATGAATTTTACCCTGCATAAGGAGAAAATAGAGGACATCAACGATTGACACGGGAAAATCGTAGAATCAGATTGGGTGGCGCAGGCGGTTAAGTGCGCGCGCTCAGCTGCGGTGGCCGGGAGTTCGCCGGTTCGGATCCTGGGCGCGCACCAACGCACCACTTGTCGAGCCATGCTGTGGTGGTGTCCCATATAAAGTGGAGGAAGATGGGCATGGATGTTAGCCCAGGGCCAGTCTTCCTCAGCAAAAAGAGGAGGATTGGCAGATGTGAGCTCAGGGCCAATCTTCCTCACAAAAAAAAAAAAAAGAAGAAGAATCAATAGATTGACAGGCCCAGTGGGTCAAAGGATTCTTGGGACTGAGGTCCATGAGAGAGTAAACTGGAAATACACAAAGTGGTACTCAGAGATAGAATGCATGGAATTGAGATATGGATGGGTTGTAGTTAACGGCAATGACAAAGTCTAAGGGATGACCATCAGACTGATGACTAGGATGGTGTTGATGACTGGTGCATTAGCAGAGAAGTTCAAGGACCTGAAAGGACAGGCTGTTGAAAGGATAATTTATGTGTATGTCAAAATCCCAAGAATTAAGACAGGAGTACAAATGAATTGAGTGACAGTAATGAGGGGGAAGAACCTGGGCGTTAGTACATGAAAGCAACAATGAGTGGCAGTGGGTATGTAATCTGATAACATGAGATTCAAATCTGGGAGGGTTTAGGGAGGAGAGAAGAATGGCCTAGACCCAGTGACAGCTGTGGCGGAAACACAGCCACCAACTGAGAGGGCTGAAGAAGCAGATATGTCCTCAGAAGAGAGCCGCATTTTAATTTTCAGTAACATGATGAAGAAAAAGTTCTGCAAATATGTTGGATCCTACTAAGTATAGCCTGGAATTCCAGAGGGCACACATTAGATTACAACCTCAATGTCCATCTATAATTTCCTGGTTATTATGGCATAGTGGATAAAGGTTTATCTGGGCTGATGCAAAGTGTTCCACATTCTCTAATAAATGAAATAGGTTAGGTAGAAGAATAGTATTGCATACACACACACACACACACACACACACACACACACACACACACACACACGTAGATATATAGCCTACACATGCAAAAAAAATTTCAGAAGTTGATAAGAAATAATTAGTAGTGTGGACCTCTAGAGGAACTAAGTTTAATGTTGAAGAGAGATTTTTTACCTTTATTTTATACCGTGCCGTAGTGCAGTATTGCGATGTACAATGACATGTGAGACAATTAAAATGTGAATACTTATTGGCTCTTTGATATTAAGGAATTGTTGATTTTTCTTAGGTCTGACAAGGGTATTGTGGTTATGTTTTAAAAGGTTATAATTTAGAGATACACATAAATATTTACAGATCAAATCTTTCTAGGCATTGACCTACAAATAATATGAAAGGGAGTGTAGTATAAACAGGGGACTTAGATAAAATAAGATCATTCAGGAGTTGAGTAAGGTTAAATCCCCATGGGGATTCATTAGCTACTCTTCTACTTTTAGATATATTTCAAATTGTCTATAATAAAGTTTTAGAAAATAACTTTTAACTTATAGGACATTATAATAGGTAATAGCTAGTCACATCAAATTTTGTGTCAATTCCATAAATTATTATTTGTATTAAATTTGAGGAAAAGTAGTGGTATAAGTGTTCATGGTCCCAGCCCTCATGCTTATGACTTAACGGGGAAAACAATTAGCAATCAAAAAAACAAACTATGAGATAGATGGAGGAGGACCTTGTAAGTCATGCTGAGGAGTTTAGGTTTCATCCTGAAAATAAGCAGCAGCCATTTAAGTGTTTTAGCCAGAGAAACATATCATCAGGTTTCTCCATATTATTCACTCTAACTTGATGATCTGATTAAAAAAGGGCCAAATAGTGGTGGAGGGTGGTCAGTTACAGTTGTCTAGGCTTACGCTGGCGGAAGTTAGCAACATGAAGGGTGAGCAGAGGAGGGAGAATCAGCAAAGAAATTGAAAAGAAATGGTGGGTAAAGATGAGTGGTGTCATAAAGATGGGAGACATGGTCTCAAGGGTCAAACACCAACCAGGGGTTAAGCAGGGTGACAATTTATTACCTAAACCACATAAGCCATAAAGGTGTTTATCTGGCCATTCCTTTTCTCAGAAAGACACAATAGCTTTCCATGATCCCTAAGAATAATGTCTGCCCTCCTTGTTGTGGCATTCAAGGCTCCAGTCTTCTCTCTCTGGATATCTCTTTATGCATTATATGCTCAGGATACACTGGTTTGATTTGATGGAATAAGCTGAGAAATTTTATGACTTCTTACTTTGGAAAATGCTGTTCAGACTGAGCATAATTATTTTTCTCTATCAAAACTTGTCTCATCTTTGTCTAAATACCAACTTCGCGATGATCCTCCCTAGTCCGTATCCATTTCTCCTCCCTGCACGCCCTAAGCACATTAGCTGGACCTTGGTTTTGCACTTAGTCACTTCTGTGTGGCTTTATGCATATTATAGTGGTTTTCATATCTTCTCCCCGACTAAGTTAGAAACATTTTGAGAGCAAACAATGTGTTAATTCAACTTTATCTTCCTTGATTAGCTTCCCTCTTTTAGTGGCCAATAAATATTGAATGAAAATGATTTCTTATCCCCTTGTGTACAACAAAATCTAGATTAATGACAAAGTTTCCATAGGAAAATTTGATTTTAGCTTAATGCATGGTCAACCATGTTGTAAACATGTGTGAAAACCTTAAGATATCAAATGACAGGGCAAATTTAAGAGAGTGCATAAAATTCTTTATTTAGAACAATAAAGTATATGTATATATAATGTAATTTCAAATTCAAACCTGTATAAAAAAGGGTCAGGACATAAACCTATTTTAAAAAGTACACATACAGTATATACACATAACACATCACATTTTACAACTTTTATTTAATTAAACCTCAGCCATAATAAAACTATTTAGAATAGTGTTGACATCCATTTACATTACAATATGCAAACTCCAATCTATGACTGACGAGCAATATATCTGTGCATCCATCTAAATGTCTGAATACTTTTCAAGTCCACTGATTTAAAAAACAGTGGCAAGTGGGACACTATAATCACACATTAATCCTTAGAATACAGGAGAATAGGATATTTTGATTGGAAAATTTTATTTAGTGAGTCTTATAGCTCAGAAATCAAGCAACTGAAAATACTATGGTTTTTAAGCAATTATTATCTTATTTTTAAAAACATCATAAGGATGTAGTTGGAGATGGCAGTTACAAATTTACAGTGCTTAGCAAACATTTTAGGATCATAAATATCCATTTTAATATGGATTATTTCTAAAACAATATCGTTAGGAAATGAAAGTACCATTATTTTATCTTTACAAAGGCGTTTCCAGACTTAGTGAAAAGTTGCAACACCATAAATTGTGTGATCAAATACTACAAATGAACTAGTCAGAATTTCCATCTGAATGTTCATATTTTAATGCCAATTTCAAAATAATAGTTTCAAAGATAGGCTGGTTTACTTTAAAACTCTTATCCCACTTTTCAATTGTAAAATGTAATTTATGGATTACCCCTTTCCAAATGGATTCTAAATTATGTTTTGGCATTCAAAAACTTCATGACCATCTGACATTTTCTGCTCTTAGCTTTTAATAAAATAAGGGCATTTGAATGCTTAATGTGGTGTATTTCCAAATGTTACACACATCATATGGTATCTCTTCCTGACTAAAATGTACTAGTGGTTTTCACTCTTCAGAGGTGATCCAAAAATGTTTATTTAAGCAAAGGAGAAAGCCATCTCTTGTATAAATGGTTATCCAATTCACCTCACAGGAGACTGAATTTCACTTTTACTAATGGACCCTATTTACATTACAAACAAGAACAGCAATGACTTTTTATGTTCAAACTGCTTATTCACAACGATCAGAGTTGGACATTTTATATGGAACAATTTTAACTATCTTTGTCAGTCATATATCAATAGGTTTCACACCTAAGATGTGACCTCCGACTTCACCATATAGATAAATAAAAAATTGAGATCCAAGGAGGGGAGGTGATTTACCAACATCAGTTAACGGCAGTGGAGCCTCCTGACCATGTTTCCCAACATCCATCCCACTACGTCAAACTGCCTTTTTAAAAAATACATTTTTTTGTTCAAGAAGCATAAATATGGAATGGCTAAAAGCTCTACACTGGGATTACATTTTGAAACAAAATCTTGCTGCAGCAAAACATTAAGAAGAAATATCCATGAATTCTGAATAGACTTTTTTGTTAATTTAACTTCAATTGAATTAGAGTACCAAAAAATGCCACCACATTTCTCCAAAGTACTTTAATGGTCAATGAAATGTGTTTCTTACTAAAAGCAAACACTTCATTATGGACACATACTTTTTCATTTTTCACATAATCCTTTGTTAAGAGGATGGGTTACTTATTCTATTATTGTATTAAAAAAACAATTTTTCTCTGACTCATTAACAATTGGCAGTGTGATAAGCACATTAGATTATAATATGGAATCCAAGAACACTTCCATATCATTGGGCAGACACCGTTTATCACAGAGCCAGTTTCTTGATGGACTTGGGTTCTACCAAAGACGTACAAAGCTTTTGGTATAATTTAGAATCTGCAGACTTCTGAGGTCATTTTAAAAGGCAATTTTGAAACATTACAAAAGAGAACTATCAGATACATGACACCAATTTAAAAGGTGATTTCATGGTTTACAATGTCAGTTGTGCGTTTTCCATGATTTATGAAGAAAGATATTCAGAGCAAATATTGGATAAAATAAAGCCAAGATATATATGTGTATTTTTTTTATCTCAAAGCAGATACGACACAGTTAATGCCCAAGCAGCTAGCATCCAAAATAACGTTCAGCATTTTTCTACTGTTCATGCACTTTATAGAACTTTAGTGTTTTAAAAATTGGTAATCCATGTAACTCAAGGAACCAATACGTTTATTTATGCAGAATACATCTCCCCTCGCCTACTATGCCAAATTTCATAACTTGCTGAATTTGTCTATTTAATTCTATTGATTAGGACCATGACCTCAAGTGTTAAAACCCAGCTACTAGCTTTGAGAACAAAAGTACATTTACTGTACTCTCAAGCTCATTAAATAGCACTTTCATGTGCCTAAGAAAATCAAAACCATTGGCAAAATAGACCAAACTATTAGATTGAGAAGTATCAATCTTCTCAATCTACACATGACCTACACACACAATGCATATTAATCTATGTCAATTTTCCTCAAAACATCAATATCACACACCGAGACAGGTCCCTTCAGCAATTAAACTGATTTCTGATTTTATTATTAATCAATTGTACCATGGGATATCTGAGGGCCTGAATAAATTAATGCAGCTTCCCAAAACACCTAGGTTGGATGTAGCAAAATGACTAGTGTTTGAAGAACCACAGCACTTTAGAGAAGGAAGGGATCATAGAAATTATCTGGGCTCTTTGGTACAAAAAAGAGCCAAGGCCACTTAACTGGAGTTGTATTGGGATCAGCTTTGAACGTAAGCTAAAATCCAATGATATTAGAAATTCTTGGACTTTTGAAATCAAAGGAAAGTTAGCTTTTTATGCTCTTTCGTATCACTACATTGAAAATGGTCATCTGATGATGGTAGAACACGGCAATAATGTTATTACAAGGATTAAGTTAGAATGGAAAGCTTTGGAGTCCTTTATGTGTATGTTTGTAACATATTAAAAGAATCTTCATCAGAATAAACCATAAGAAATCATTCTTTGACTTTAGTCAGATGTTCCTTTCACTATTAAAAAAATTGGCAAGGGAATTCACATAATCTCTTGTAAATTCTAGTTTAAAAGCGCAATGTCCATCTTGGAAATTCTTGCCAAATTCACTCTTAATATGACAAACGCCATCACAAATTTTAAATAGCAAACTGACATGCATAACTACATAAAGCTCTCTTATTTTTAATTCCTAAACCTTAATGACTATAGAGCGCCTGATTTTAAATAAATGGATCCTTTAAACAGATAATGGTGATTATACTATAAATAACTAAAGTTTCCCGATTCCTTGCATTCTTGTAAAAGCCAAGTAACCTAGTTTTCAACACCCATATCAGCATGTGGGTGTGGTTTCCTAACCTTAGATACTAAATATCATAATTTATTTTTACTCTCCCATGGCAGAAATTGAAAATGGGACTTTTCATACATTCAGCAATTTCTCCTAAGTCCCTTTACATAACTCTGTAATAGTTTTAGAATATAAACACTTCATAATAGATTTTGCAAGCACGATTTATACACTCTATAGTGGTCAAGGTAAAAGGCCGTCTTCACCAGGGGTGCCAAATGTCCTCCACGGCGACTGCCCCACTGTTCAATGTTCATAGCTTCTTTGTGCGATGACTCTTTCGGAGTCTTCCCCTCTACAAAGGCATCACTGTTCTAATGCAGTACTGGCTCCCCTACACAGATAGATCCAGCCAGCCATGTCCATTTGTCTAGTGGGATGTAGGTGGGCGTGGCTCATGTCAGGAAGAGACCAAGATCAGACCCATATCATTAATCAGCAGATACAAGGCTGACACATTGCCTACTCCAATCAGTTTGTTCCCACTGCTTTCTATATGTACAGTGGTTGACACTATTAGGTTTTTGTTTTTAAAATTTTTTCTAGATCCCTTTGAGAAAGATTATTACCCCAACTATCCAGGCTGAAATCTACTTGCAGAGACCAAAATAACTAGGAACTGCAGGTTGTAACTGAAAGCAAAGCTGTGTGGCTTTTCAGCAATTAGACATCTCTGGAGGCATGCAAAATGATGCATGCAGTCTGGAACACGTGCTTTCTCCTCTGACATCAGCTATAAGTTCTAAATGAGACCACAAGTCCACCAGGTCCTTAAAATAGAGTCCTGCTCCATGCAAGTTCTTCTTTATATATGATTAATTCAGTGCCAGTTTCACAGTAAAACACTTTGTTCCAATTTCTGAATCATCCATACAGAGTTGTGGGTAGCAAGAACAGATAAAGATGCAGTCTGTCACTCCAGACAGAATATGAATTTGTTTAAAGCTGCTTCATTTATGAAGCAAACATGAACTGTTACCCGCCTAGAGAGGAAAGAAACAAGAGAGATTATGGCATATCTGCTTTCTGCCTTCTTTTCATTCTCAATGGCTGAATTCATATAACTACCGAATGAGTAACAGACTTAGAACGCATGCTTCACTTACACGGCCTACGAGAACTTAATAAACGTTTTCCTAGATACACTGATCAGTCACTCTCTATGATCTCCCTGGTAACAATTAACATTATCTGAAATGATCTCGCTTAGTGTTCATCGATTGTCTCCCCCATTAGAATGTAAGTTCCAAGAGGACACAGAGCTTTGCCTGTCAATACTGCTCTACTCCAACCCCTAGCACAGTGCCTGGTACAAAACTGATACTCAATAAATATTTCTTGAACATAAGAATGGATGAATGAATGCCCTGTGGCTTTCGTACCCCCAGGCATACCACAGATTATCTCCACTTGTGATAAGAGGGTTATCAATCTCCGTAGCCTTGGATTTCTCTAAGAAGGCTCTGAAAAGTTAGTAGATAGGTAGCGAGGGGAGAGGGTGTGAAGGACAACAGCAGTGTCTAGACAGAGAAGACATGGAGATAGATGGAGTTGCATGAAAGAGATATGGGACAGATGGAGAAGCCAGTCAGAGGCCACCAACAAACAGCAGCCTCTCGGCCAGTGAGCAGTGCCAGTATCCTGACTGCCTAGCCACGTGCTAGCAATCACTTCTCCCAACTGAGGAACAGCAGCAGCAAGATCTCATTCAATACTCGCCGCCAAAAAAAGAGAAATCCTGGCACCACATCCTGCCAAGGCCTCTGGGGAAGTTCACTTGGCCTCAGCACAGCTTCGGGACTTGTTGAAGCATGAAAGCCAGACTTTTCGTTCCTCAGTGCGGGTGTTAAACCACCGAGCTTTGGACTCAGCTTTCAGACTTTTCGACTTTTAAGTAAAGTATTTGTACTTCCTTAACTATTTTTTATTATAGACAGCATCTTCACGCTATCTGCAATCACAGCCGTTAAATCAATGTGTATTTGGCATTTCTTTTCTCTCCGATTCACTCCTCTCTCGCTATCTTTGCCCCTATTTATCAATCCCAGAGTCACAGATCACCGGTTTCAAAATATTGGAGATCACTACACAGGTTAGGTATAAAATAAGTAGGACAGTATTTTTTCCAGTCTTTCTAAATGTAATCGATTAAAAACTATATCACACAACAATTTACCAAACAGAATTCTAGAAAATAGACAACCTGTATTTAAGAAAGCAGAATTAAATCTTCAAGGAAAAATTACGAAACATGAAGAGAAAACTTCAGAAGTCCAAAATACATGACAGCTATTTTAAAAATAAAGCTTGGTTATTAAAGCAAAAGGGAATCACAAAAAAAGCAAAAGGATTTTTTTTTAAAAAAAGCTACAAATCATTTGAAATTCTAAACTTAATCAAACGTAGAGAAACAAGATTGGAAATCTATTTCTGACTTTGTCCCCGAGTCATTTAGCAAATAAAATAAACTTGAAAGCTGACAACTCTTTTCTCATAGAACAAAACTACAATTTTTGTAATGATACCTTGGATTCTTGCAGCAACCCCATGAAATAAGCAGGGTAGTATTATTATCCCTTCATTATACATGAAAAAGTAGAGGCTAAAAGACAACTACTCATCCAGGAACCTACAGCTGGTTAAGCTGCAGAGCCAAGGTTTGAACCCAAGTTTTGAAGCCAAGGTTTGAATCCCTTCTAATCCTCTGCATCACAATGTGTCTACAGAAAGAGAGCTCGAAAACAAAACCCACAAAGCTCCAGAAATTCTTAGAAAATAGTTGGTAAAGAGCCACAGATCTTGCCATTTGGTAACCAAGCATCCCCAAGTACTGGGCGCTGAACAACTCAACTTGACTCAAGCTCATCTGTATTCCAATTCTAGGATCTATTTTCTTCTGTCTTAGTTTAGATCTATCAGAAACTTCCAGGTTGTGTTTCTTTTATGAGTCGCTCCACCAGCCTAATTATATAAGAATTACTTTCTACACTTACCATGCTGGGGTAAGTCCATAAACACTGCTAACTGAGTGTTTACAAACTCATGCTGTTTATTGTCAACCAAACTGGGCCTTCTCTGTGACTATGCAGTCCTTCTCCCAAGGTCTCAATTAAAATTCTTTGTAGATGACTCCCAAATCCCAAACCTATTATGTCCAGCCCTGACTGTTCTCTCAAGTTCCCAGGCTAACATATTTCGCCACTCGTCAATATATACTAACAGCTCCTTCTCCCATTTTCTTTTAATGGCACCCCCATATCTGGTTAGTCCCATAGGCTCCAAATCATCCTTGAGTTCTGCCTGTGAGGTCAAGCCTCACATCCCATGGGTAACTAGGATTTGTTGATTCTCTTAATGCAGTGTCTCCAAAATGGTCCATGCTTTCCTGTTTCTATGGCCCTGACCCTAGTTCAGGTCATCATTCTCTCATATCTATTTAGAAGATTGGCCTCCTAAGTGGATTCCCTGACTCCAGCTCACCACTCCCATCCATCTGGCCACATCAATATCTGATTACTTTCCTAAACCTTCCAACAACCCCTTATATTACTCAATAGAGTGTAAGCCCTGTACTTGGAATTCAGATCCTTTTTCAAACTGATGCCCACCCTTTCTTCTCAGCATTTTAACCCTTTATGTGTGACCTCCACTGGAGTCCAGCTGTACAAACTCTCCTGAACACAGTCTGTACTGTGGCCTCCCTGACTTAGTTATGCCATTTACACTATCTGGATTATCCCTTCCCTGTTGCTAACAAAATTTCACCAATCATCCAAGATCTAGCTCTAGCCACCTCCATCATCTACACAATGAAGCTTTTCTCCTGTTGGTAGTGATTTCTCTCTCCCTTCAAATAAGGCAATTGTATATGTGTGTATGGTAAAATTCTAAGGGATGCCATCCATACCAACGTCTAGAGGTATGTTGAGGGCACGTCCTGCACAACCATATGTAGTGGCCTTGCCTTTAGTCTCTCATTGCATTTTCTTGGTAAGCCCCTTCTGTTGCTTTTTAACTTTGTAAACTTCTAGTTTCCTTTGTAAAATACATTATCATGCATACGTCTTATTTCTTTTTGCAGGCTATAAGCAATTTGAGGATGCAACTACGTTACATTAAGCTTTGTATCCAACAATGCACCTACTGGAGTTTGTTAGAATCACATTTGTGGGAAGAATGAAGCATAAAATTTTCCTATGATATACTCTATTTTCTTCGTTTTCTTAAACTGAGCTACCCAAAACCCAATAAATGAAAACTTCTTGTGGGATGCCACATGTGGATGCTTGGCATCAGCTAGTTGACTAAGTGGATTTTTAACTTTTCTTATATTTTCATGTTTGATGTCAAATAAACACAGTTTTAACATATTTTCTCTTAGAGGCAATGCCTTTTGTTTTTAGTTCATTTTTCCTTCCTTGTATTTAAAATATCAAACCCTTCTTCTCTTCATTTTCCAATTATAAGTTGGAGAACTAACTACTCCGTATGTTTCCTAGTCTAGTATTCCAATATTTGTCCTGATTTAATTTGTTTTAGTTGGTGAAACTTCCATTTCAGGGAGAAATCCTTGCCATAAACCTGAGTCATTCCCTGCATTTTTCCCTTTCTTGTTAACCAACGAAATGACTATAATCTAAATTATATCTAATTTTTAAAACGTAATTACAACTCCACATGTCATTTCTATCTTGGTACTTTTTACTACTGCTATTCTTGTTTCTTGGCAGATTTCCCCTCCTAACACATCATAGTCTGCTCTCCCAAACCTTTCCCTCCACCACATCCCTTTCCCTAAATTATACTCCGATTTCCTTGGCAGGTTTTAAACCTCTGTTGGTATAGGGCCAAGCATAAGGCTTTACTCTATACAATGGGTACTTAATAAATGATTACAAATGATACATATACATTTTGACTCTGGGGTTTGCAGATTCATGATAATGAGCTGGTTCTTTTTTCTTCCTTTTTCCTATCTCTCCCTCAGCATTTGAATTCTTATTTACTTCTACCTACCTAAGTCTATTTTTGCTTCCGTAAATTTTATTCTCACATTACTGCAATTCTGAGATAGTTTATTCATCTCTCCATTCATTTATTCAACAAATATTTCTTCATCACTTACATGTGCAAAGCATAAGCTCTATAGGGATTCCAAAATGAAATTTAGAAATCAATCCTGCCCTCTAAGAGCTTATGGTTTAGAAGAAGACACAAAATGTCTATGTAAGTAACTACGATGTCCTACTAATATACTAGTATTATATGAAATATAATTAGAGGGCCATAAGGAGAGATTACTTTCATTTGGGAAGCTAGCTTTTTGGAGGTGGTGGTATCTGAGCCAAGACTTTAGAGGGCTTTGCAGAGATGATGAGTAATGTACTCGATGAAGAAGAATGCCACTTCTTCATTCATTCTGTCATTCATTTCACACCAACTACTCAATGATATGTGATGAGTTTATTTCTAAACAATGTGGGGCTTCTTTAACTGACTATCTAATTTGATTCATTTACACATGAGTAATATTTCATATTTTAAGAAAAATAAGTCCTTTCGCAGATGACTGCATTTCCCCTCGCCGTCCTATTGACCCAAATCGGCAAATTAAACGCATTTAATTTTATTGCAGTAAGAATATTTAACATGAGATTCACCCTCTTAACACACTGTTAAATACACAACAGAGCACTGTTAACTATAGGGATAATGTTGTACAGCAGATCTCTAGAACGTATCATCTCGCAAAAAAAACAAAACAAAACAAAACCCTACTTCAGAATAACTATCTTCCTTACCACTTGGTTACACTTGCATTTAGGGTTTATTCATTCACTCAGTTGCTCATTCAACAAACTTCTACTGAGAGCCTACAACGCATAGACAACAAGTGAGGTGCTACAGCAAGAACCAGTCAGGCTCAGTTCCAGTCCTCCAATGTTCCCTGACTAGTAGAAATGTGTGTAAGTTGCTTGACTATGGTAGCTTTAAAATGCCATCTTTTTTTCTCCTAAACAAGTGCCCTGGGTTTTCCCATCATAATCCACTCTCCAAATGTCACAGGACAAATGCCACAATTAAAAACCACACGACTAAAGACCTATGTGCCAAAACAGGATCCCAGCGATGCAATTCGAAACCAAACAACAGAGGACTTGACTTGAGCCTTTAAGACTCAATTAACCATTTAATGTGTGCTTTGTGGATGTCTGGCTTAAGGGAACTGAAATGGCAGATAGAGAAGATACAGTGAAGCTTGTGTTGGGGTTCAAGGGTAGAGAAATTGGTTTCTAGGAAAAACAATGATTTCAGCTTGGGGAATACTGCTCCAGCAAAAACAAAGGGTCTATTTGCTTACATTATCTGACAGGAAACATGAGCCTAGAGAGAAGCTAGGATGCGGAGCAGAAAAAAGGGAGGGTGCTATTCATGCTTTGGAAATGGGGATCAAGGACATGATGAAAGGCAAAACTGAAGAAGTCTGTGTCACAGCAGGGTTAAAGTGTTAGAGAAATACGTGACATAATTATTATTATATCATGTTATTTTGGGTTGTTGAAAAATGATGTTCTATAACTATAAAAGTGAGCTCCTGCGGGAGGAAAGCAGCTCTCTATGACCCACTTTTCCTAGGAAGGTTCAATCTAGAGATAAATCTCTGAATCTGGGACAGAAGTGCAAGCTAGAAGGACAGTGACCTGTAAGGAAAAGGCAAAGCTCACCACAGACAGTCTTTGTAATAATCAAGGAGAGTAAATGATCCTCTGACAATGAGGGAGTGCAGGGGAGAAGTGAGGAACTAGGAAGGTGAGAGAACGCTCATATGCCACTGTAACAAATGCACTCGGGATTCCACGGGCATGACAAAATGAACAGCCAGGTAGCAGAACTGAAGGTGAGAAGAGCATGAATCGATATCGGATCAAGATAGTGCCACTTGGGATGCTTCCCAACAGTACCTGGATCTGAGAGAGTGGACAGGAGAGGAGAGGAGCATATCAGGGCCTCCTGGCCATGCTTTCTTTCTCTCACAAGCCCTGCACAAACCCACACACTCACAATAGGGCTCTGTCAGTGGTTAATATGCAGTGCATCCTGGGCTCTGGACTGTGACTAGGCACAATTATTACCAGTCACGTGGCTGGTGGCACTTAAATACCTTGACAATTTCCCTTTCCTGACTGTTAGATATTTTAACCTTTTCTCCTTTTCCTAAAAAGGCAGGGAAATATTTTGGTTTTCGCTCATTTCAGTATCTAACATATGAGATACTTTTTCTATCATGTTATAGTAGTCACACTTAATTGAAATTGGTTTTATTTATTCTTCCTCTATTAATGATAGTTTATTTTAGTCCTAATTTGCCCTATTCCCCTTGACTAATTTATTTTCTGGCCTCAAAAATAATAAATACTCAGCTGTTAATTTTTTGTATATCTCCCACTAATCAGGACTAACACTACTGGCCTTTCAAAACTTGAGAACACACCACGAATTAGATACGCACAATTCAATTATGTAACAGCTTCAGTGAATATACTGACATCAGCTTGATAGAAGACAATAAATTTTGGCATTGAAGATACTGTATAGCTCGGTAAATCTTTCAGTTTAAATTCTAAAAACTTACCAATGTACGAAAGTAACAGTGTTGATACAAGCCACAATTACACTTCTTGAAACTCTCTCTCTTTTTCTTGCAACATACTGAAAAACAACAAGAAAAATGCTTATTTGCTTTTGGACAGAAATTCTGAAGTACACCATGATCTGGGCAATGTAAAAGGCAGTTTTTTCTGTAAATACAGTAGCAAAAGGTTGCAAAATTGAGTGGGAAGCTTACCTTCATAAGTATTACTACAGGGAAGAGGGAAGACTTTATCTGCCTCAATATAGTCTTCCCAAGTAGTTTAAAAAATTCTCTATGCATATGCATACACACATACTAAAAAGCTTACATGCACTTAATATGTAAATATGTATACACAGGCATGATATGAGAAAGTAACATGCCAAATGAAAATTATAACTGAATGTAAAATCAAACTATTAGTAACTGGAGCAATTTGGAGTAAGGTGAAAAAGTGATCAGGGTCAGCTACAGTAAATGGAAAAGTATCTTAAAACAATTTTTGTATGTGGCTTTGGAGAAAATACTGAACAGGTCGAGAAACGTTAAGGGCTCTGAAGGCCAGCATGAAGTCAAATATCTTAAGTATGCAAGAGAAAATCACTGAAAGTATCTTGACTAGGAAGTGATATTATGAACCAGGATTTAAGGAAGAATGATACAAAAGTGGAGGTTAGAAGGGCCGAGGAAAAGAAAGATTCTGTGGCAGCAACTCAGCCAAGACATCATAATGATATGGATGAAGATAATGACTATTGCCAAAGAAAGAGCTAAGCTTGGCAAGAGACTCAGAGAGAAGAATCAGTATATCCTGTAATTGGGTGGAAAAGGAGGAGAATCAGCAAACGTGCCTCCAGAGCTCTATGACCAGGAATCTAAGCAAGATTCTACTGCTTATAGAAATAAAGAAAGGAGAGATGACCAGTTTTGATACCCTAAGAAGGGTTATGAAGGCAGTTATGTGAAGGTATTCCACAGGTAAATGGAGACGTAGGATTGAAGAGAGAGTGAGAGATCAGAAATGTGGATGAACACTTGGAAGACACTGGTTGGGAGCTGCCATTATGAGACTGAACAACTTCTTAAAGACATTACGAGCATGTGCTGGTACATGACAAGGCAACGTCAAGCTTACTTATGCACACATTTAGTAAAACAGAATACCTTATCTCATTATCCTCTTCGTTAATCTGTATATTTTCAACTGCCCTTGTAAGATTTGGTTGTTTCTTCTGGGAAAAGAACAATGACATGTATTGTAAAAATAGCAATGAATGGTATAATAGTTAAGAGGTAAATGTTCTCCACTTTTATGTCAATAACTCCACTAACAGTTTTCTTCCGCAAGCAGCATGTAAAATATTTTTGCAATAAGAAATTGTGAAAAATGCACAGTATTATCAACTCAACATTTTTAGGATGTTGGAGGTGAAAGAGTAATAAAGAAACTGAAAGGTTTAAATAGTAATCAAATTCAAAAGACGTTTCAAAAAGCTGAGTCACAATGATTCAGCACATTTTAAAATTTAGACAGGCTTCAATTAGAAGAGAACAAAAGACTGGAAATCCAAAATAGCAGATAACACAAATGGCATTTCTATTTGGCTTGAAGTCCATCATATGATTTTCAGCATATTTTCTTCCTTGTTATATTTAGTTCAGGCCATTAAAATCAGTTCCCATTTCTTAAGTGTGCATTCTTAGCTAGAGGGGTTGCCCCCAAAGGATAATGAGGAATGGGGGGAAATCCTTCTAAGATATACATTCTGTTGAGACTATAAGTTAAGGTAGGTAGGACTTATCTTATTGTTTTCTTTTGTCTTTTTTTTTTTTTTTTTGAGTAAGATCAGCCCTGAGCTAACACCCATGCTAATCCTCCTCTTTTTTTTTTTTTGTTTTTGCTGGGGAAGACCAGCTCTCAGCTAACATCTATTGCCAATCCTCCTCCTTTTTTTCCCCAAAGCCCCAGTAGATAGTTGTATGTCACAGTTGCACATCTTTCTAGTTGCTGTATGTGGGACATGGCCTCAGCATGGCCGGAGAAGCAGTGCGTCGGTGCACGCTCGGGATCCGAACCCGGGCCCCCAGTAGTGGAGCGCGCGCACTTAACCGCTAAGCCACGGGGCCGGGCCCTTATTGTTTTCTTGATAGGATCTTTTCTTGAAAAAGGTCAGTTTGTCAGTTATCAGTTATGTAAATATAGTAAGAATAAATAAATATGCAAAGCTCAGAAAGTTTCTGATCAGGAAAAATAAAACAGCAGCACTTACCTTCCAGTACAAGGCTCCAAAAGCAAACCCAATTACAAGAGAAAAGAATGCCGGCAGCGCCATGGCTGCCCATTGTAGACTGGAGTCTCCAGTGGAATTTGAGGCCTTCCCTGTAATTTAAAGAGGACGGTGGTGAACATAGCACATCCACGCTAGAGGTTTTGCTCTTATGCTGTGGTTGTTCCCAACTCTTTCCGTACTGTACTCTTGACCTATCTCTGTTTAAAATATTTGAAATGCTGATTTTTCTGCTGAGTATTGTTTTAGGGCGGCAATACACGTCCATGTAGTCTCCAAAAGATAAATATGTTGAAGAAGGAAAGGAGCTCCACAGACAGAAGGAGATCTGACTAGGTTAATGTTGACACATATGGAACACAGACTTCACATATTCCTGGCGGGAAAATGATGTATACTATCAAGCAAATCAAGCAGCAGCAAGTATTAGGAGTCGTGCCCTGGAGCTGCAAGCCAGTCTTCTCTGACGACATCATTTTTCTCTCCCCGCAAGAGTCATAAGATGGGATTTGGTATAACTGAAGTGGTACTATTATTACAATAACATAGCTACTTTGAGGGTTATATAAGATTATATGCGCTAGTCTGGGATTTAACCACTATTCGTAAAACTGTTTTCCATGAGAAAATGGATTCAGTTATAAGCAATTTCTACCTTTTTAGGAATTTTAATATCACTATTTGGAAATAATTTGGCTTTTTGTGTTTGTATACCAGTAACACGTTTGAATTCTCCTTGATGGCCAACCTGCTACGGCCCACACTGTCTATCGGGATTGCTGGCATATAATTTGGATAGATTTGACCAGGTAACCTCCTTGAGGGGCCCTAACCAATGTCTACAGAGAGAACAAAGGATGCTATTGGTCTTTAGTCCTCAGACCCCAATGGAAAACTAATGAGCTAAGATGGTGCTGTGGAGAACTCCATTACTACCTATGTTTGGGCAGCCAGATGCCCTGGAATCAAGGTAGCCTAACACTCTGTTCTTCCTGTTCTATCCAAAGGCCAAATCTTGAAATGCACCATTCAGACCAGAAGAAAGACTACACTCTTCTGCAAGGGTCAGGAGGAGCTTACTAGAGTGTGAGGTATTCTGAGATTCCCCATTTAAAATCCTTCCCAGGTAGGAGGACAGCTCCTAAGGGGGGTGTTGCAAAAAGAGCCATGCTGGCAGAAAGACCTAACTAAGGAAAGCTCACCTCACTCTTCACAGTACTGTGATTTTCTTTGTTTTTTTGAGGAAGACTGGCCCTGCACTAACATCTGTTGCCAATCTTTCTTTTTTTTCTTTTTTCTCCCCAAAGCCCCAGTACATAGTTATGTATCTATAGATGTAGAGCTGTAGCTCTTCTATATGGGACGCCACCTCAGCATGGCTTGATGAGCGGTGAGTAGGTCTGCACCCAGGATCCGAACCAGCGAACCCCCGGGCTGCCGAAGCGGAACGCATGAACTTACCCGCTACACCACCAGGCTGGCCCCAGTACTGTGACTTTTTAACCACTTTGAAAGTTCCACCCCCAGGACTATGGCCCCAAACAAAGTCCTAGAATCTGACTAGCACACAGCAGCAGTCCTCCTGCAGGAGAGAGGGAAGGAGAGGCAAGGTAAAGACTGAGAGGGGAAGGGGACCACAGGAAGTGAGCTTCACCTCCTAGAGAGGTCAATGTTACCTTGCTTTTGTTGTTATTTCTCTTGTTAATACAAACGGCTTAATAGCCAGGCCTTTGGTTCTCTCTAGTAATACTGCCATCCCTCTTGCAGGGAGAGAAAAATAATGTAACCAGAGAAGGCTGGCTTGCACCTCCAGGGCACGACTCCTAATACTTGCTAATACTCCTAATACTCCAAGGATCAATGAGATTTGAATTGTATGCCACTAAGCCCATACGAAGGGCATTTGGGACCAAAGTCCAAGTGGGTAACAAAGCTTTGCTTTTATGTAAAAATTGCCTGAAGAAACCTTGTGGGGCGGGGAAGCTCATCTAGACAGGATTTAAGTAATCCCAGATTCCTGGGTTGCTTATCATATTAATTGTATCTCATTATTATGAAAACTGTCCCCTGTCCAAAATTCCTGGGAACTGACTTGTTTGGTTTGACTAATAATACCTGACATCTGTACAAATATAGAACACAAAAAACTGTGCTACAATTTTGCTGAACTTCTTTTTAGAGTGAGTCTGCTTATGGGTTCCATGCCTGTGAACATGGATCTCTTGGTGCTTAGAGAACACGTTAACTTGGTACTCCTCCTTGATTCAGATTCAAAGCTCACCACAATTACTGACCCACAGCCTCAGTGCATCTAATTGTGCTAATAATTGGTGAGGAACACATACTAGACATCAAACATGGCTCCAAGTACACGTGTGCGAACTCATTTAAAACTCACAGAAACGCCGTGAAGCAGATATTATCATCCTCTATTCGACTGGAGAGTCCAGAGACCCAGAGTCCAGCCCACAGTCACACAGCTAGCCAAGCGCTAGAGCTGGGATATAAACCCAGACAGTCTGACTAAAGACTGTATTCCTAGGAGATGTGTAAGGTAACAATCAGAGTAAGGATTTCCTTCTATATCATTTAAATACTGCAAGGGTGTCAACCTTAAACATTTTTTAAACATCCCTTTAGCTTGGTACAAAGGATATTATTACAATTATTTTGAAAATACAACTCCCTTTGTATAACTTGTATGCTTTTATATTAGCCCATGATTCTTCCCTACAAGCTACAGAGAGGACACCCACATCTCCGGACTACTCCTTCATATGCCCTGGTCCTCTGGCTAGTATGGCCACTTTTTGGGTCTTATCCCTGAAAACTAATATGCTTTCTTCAAATTTCCCTGATCCTACTCCCAAAAAAGTCTTACCTCCTTTATGCTACAATTAAAATGATTTACATACTTCTATTATTATACACATTATAACATGTCTATGTTATAAAATACCACAAGCGCTTTATTTATGTCTGTTTCTCTCATGAGAATGCAAGCTCCATAAGAGTTAGTCTTGTACATGGGTACCTAAGTGCCATAGTCATGAGTGACATCACCTGGCCGAAAGCTGCTGATTACGCAAGACCCATATATTTTACAAAAAGGAAGAAAAAAGAAAGCAAAACATAAAAAGAAGGCTGGCCATTCATTTTGCAATTTAATAAGTACCTTCAGACTCAGAGGTACAGGACCAAACAGGACTTGTACATTGTTTGTCTTTTAAAGTAAGTAGAAAAAACTTTTGCTTCTGACTATGACGGGAGATTAGCCTTCCCAACCTCAATTATTATTATACTAGACAAATTATATGAGGCAACTATTTTCAGACATTAGCCAACAGGCAGCACAAGAGTGTAATCCCTGAGAAAGGCCCATGATTGTCCTGGTTTTCTAGCTGGGAGGCACCTTCAGACTGAGGTATGGAAGATAGAACCCAAGTACGGCTCAGTAGTCTCACTGAGAGAAGGAACCAGATACTGAAGTTCAGGGTTGCTGATGTGGCTCAAGTTTGTGGGGCAGGGTTATTTGCAGGAAAGGAGCTGTGCAGAGAAGAGTCACCAGAAATTTCCAGAGGAGCCTCCTTAAGTCATTGGTCGAACACTAAGCTGTACGTGCACAGGGAGAGACTTCACAAAACCTAGTGATCAATAACGCCTGGGAAGCTATGACTCTTAACAGAGACCTTAGCAGTCATACAGAGACAAAGGAGTTTTGACAAGGAAGATTAGAGAGATTTTGTAGGCACTCAAGAAATACCTCAGAAATTCCATGCTGTAGAAATAAGGCTACTCTCCTTCCTCCCTCTAAGAAAGCTTAAAAACAAGCCTGGGAAAGAAGATAAAGCCAATCTACCAGTAATTGAACTGCCTAGTGAAACAAAATTCAATAGTCTCTAAAGGAATCCTATGAAATCCAGATACTCAACAACACAGTATCCATAATATCCAGCATATATTCAAAAATTACTAGCCATCTAAAGGGAAATGTGACCCATAATCAGGGAGAAAAGAATCAATCAACAGAAACCAACCCTGAGATGAGCTACATGTTGAAACTAGGAGAAAAGAACTTTAGAGCAGCTATCATAACCATATCCAAAGGCCAAAGAAAATACTGTCATCATGAATATGCAGATGAAAAATCTCAGCAGAAAAATATAAAATATAAAAAGAATCAAACGGAAATTCTAGAACACAAAGTACAAACTTAGAAATGAAAAAATGCACTGGATCCAAACCCAAAGAATGTACAACACCAAAAGTAAACCCTATGTAAACTACAGACCTTGGGTGATTATGATGTGTCCATGTAGGTTCATCAGTTGTAACAACATACCATTCTGGTGGGGGATGTTGATAATGGGAGAGGCTATGCACATATTGGGGCAGGGGATATGTGGGAAATCTCTGTACCTTCCCCTCAATTTTGCTGTGAACCTTAAACTGCTCTAAAAAAATAAAGTCTTAAAAAAAATGTACTGGATGAAAAATTCAGCAGATTAGAGATGGCAGAAGAAAGAGTCAGGGAACTTGAAAACAAGTAAGTAGAAATTCTTCTTTTTGAAGAATAGAAAGAAGTTGGGGAAAAAAAACTGAACAAAACCTCCATGATCTGTGAGACCATATCAAACTGCCTAATATATGTGTGATTGGTATATGTGTGATTATCTATAATATATGTGTGACTCCTCTCAGAAGAAGAGAGAGAATGAAGAAAAAATATTTGCAAGTATTATGGCCAAATTTTCCCCAAATTTAGGGGAAAATAAATTTACATAACCAAGAAGCTTGACAAACAACAAGAAAGATAAATAAGAAGAAAACTACTCCCAGGCACATCTTAAACTGCTGAATAGAAGAAGATTTTAAAAGGCAGAGAGAAAAATGACCCAGTACATATGAGGAAAAACCTAATATAAATGCTGGCTGCCTTTTTGTCAGGAACAAGAGAAGCAGGAAGAAAATGGATATCTTTAAAGGACTAAAAGAAAAAAATTCTGTTAACCCAGAATTCTAGATCTAGTAAAAAGTACCTGTACTACTGAAGACAAAATACAGACATATTTCAATTAAAAGAAAAAAAAATTTGTTGCCAGCAGATCTGCACTACAAGAAATACTAAAAGATGTTCTGCAGCCTGAACTTGGATTTACAAGAGGGAATGAAGAGTACAATAAATAATAAATATGTGGGTAAATATAAAAGACAATATTTAAAAGACAGACAATAGTTTAAAACAATAATTTTAAGAGTGTATCGTGGGCTTTATAACCTATGTAGATTTACATGTAAACAAAGCACAAAAGATGGTTGTAGGTAAGTGGAACTATCCTGTTTCAAGGCTCTTATACTTTTTTCTGAAGTGCTACAATAGTAACCCTTACTAATGTTACAAGTTAAGATGTATATTGTAATTCCTAAAACAATCACAAAATAATGCCAAGAGGTACTGTTGAAAAGCCAACAGAGTAATTAAAATAGAACACTAAAAAAAAAAAATTAATTAATCCAAAAGAGAGCTGGAAAAAAGGAAGAGAGGATCAACAAAAAAAATGGGGGCGATGGGCCCGCCCCATGGCCTAGTGGTTAAGTTCGGCATGTTCTGCTTCGGCAGCCTGGGTACAGTTCCCGGGCGCAGACCTACACCACTTGTTGGAGGCCATGCTGTGGTGGTGACCCACATACAAAATAGGGGAAGATTGGCACAGATGTTAGCTCAGGGCAAATCTTCCTCAGGAAAAAAAAAAAAATGGGGCAAATAAATGGTAGACCCAAATCGAACCAAACCAATAATTGTATTAAATATAAATGGATAAAACACTGTAATTAAAAGTCAAAGACAGACTAGGTAAAATAGCAAGGCTCAATTATATCATGTCTACTGAAGATGTACTTTAAAAATAAAGATAATTGGTTGAGAATAAAAGGAGGAAAAAAGATATACCATGAAAACAGTAAGCCTAAAAAAGACTGACTCAATTAATGTCAGACAAAATACACTTCAAGACAAAGAGCATTACTAGAGGCAATGAGGGATATTTCAGTAAGATATAAAGGTCAATTAATCAGGGAAGACATAACAATAATAAATAGATAAGCACCTAATACAGATCTTCAAAATATATGAAGCAAAAAACTCAGAACCCAAAAAACAAATGGCCAAATCTACAATCAAAAGGAACAATTTTTAATGCCCTTCTCTAAGTAATTGATAAAAAAACTTAGACAAAAAATTTAATAAGGATATAGAAGATCTGAACAGTACCAACCACTTTGATCAAATTTGAGAATGCTGTACCTGCTATTTGAATAACATACATAAAATAAGTCTCAATAAACTTCAAAAGATTATAGCGTATGTTCTTTGATAATAGAATTTAAAAACTGATAAAAATAAGATATCTAGAAAAACCAAATATTTTTAGACAAACAACGCACTTTTATATTACCTATGAATCGAGGAAGAAATCTCAAAGAAAATTAAAAAATATTTTTAAAGAAATGATAATGGAAACACAACATATCAAAATGTGTGGGATGCAGCTAAAGCTGCTTACAAGGAAATTTATACTGTTAAGTGCTTATATTAGAAAAGAAGAATGGTTTAAAATCAATGATCTAATTTTTCTACCTTAAGAAGTTAGAACAAGTTGATCAAATTAAACTCAAAGTAGAAGGAAGGAAATAACAAAGATAAGATTAGAAATCAATGAAATACAAACAGAGAATTTGATAAGCCAAAAGTTGCTTCTTTGAAAAGATTAATAAAATCTGTGGTTAGTAGGAAAGACCTTAACTGACTAACACATATACAATCCCTTTCAAAACTTTTCAGATCTGATGTGTTATATAATTCAGAATTTTAGAAGGTTCTGTCCTGCAAATATTGTACACTATACAGCATCCTCAGTGAGGCCTGGGTAGCACCCTGTAATCAAACACATGAATATTTCTGAAGTGAAATGTATATATAGTCCTTTCAGAAGGATAAAGACTATAAATAGCCTCATGTCAGCTCAGGTCAGGTTTTGGTGGCAAAAATTTCTAAAAAAAATTGGATTTTAGAGTTTTTTTTTTTTAATTTCTGAATTATAGAATTGCAATTGTGGATTTGTGCTCAATTGATTACTCCTTTTTATAGTTAGGTCTTGTACGTCCCTGAAAATATGACAGTGCCCCACTACTAAGTCTTAAGGGATGACTTTCCTACCTAAGATCACAGGATGAATTTTTTCCTCCTACAGCTTCCCTGAGAGTAGAGGGTCAGAATATTTAGTAAATTCAATGACCTTTATAATGACCTTTACTTGGATTTGAAAAGAGGACATTAGACTTCCAGGAACCTGGGTTCTTGGCCAAAGAGTGCAGAAATTTCAGGGAAAGAAGCATATTCTCCTCCAACATACAATTTTATAGTAAAATAATAAAATCATCAAATTTCCAAACACACAATAGCAACTACTGATATATGCAAAACTGAAAATATCCTTGTAATTCTGTATAACCAGCATTTGAACTTTCCATTTTAAAATTCCATTTTTGTCAGACAAATTCCACACAAATTATATTTTAAGTTGACAATGAAAAAAGCTCAAATCATATTTCTACAAGGAATTTCATGCCTTATTTAAAATAATTTTAGCAGCAAATTTATTGGCCAATTCTCTAAACATTATCTCAAGCTGTAGGGAAATCCAATTCTACAAACCTAATGTTTAATTCTCAGGAAGACCATAAGAGGAAGAACAGTAACAGAAACAGTATTAACAGTGATAATTGTAGAAATTTCCTTTAAAGCCCATGCAATACTCCTATAGGTGCTAATTGGAGCCATGCATGCATTAAATCAGATATGTGTACTTACTATTACTGCTACTGCTGTCATTCCTAAGGGAGCTGGCTGCAACAGGGGGTAACATAAATGGTTTTGTGACACTGACTCTGGAATCTAAATAGAAAGCAATAACGTGTCAGTGTTGCATGGCGATTTACATAAATTATAGAGTCCCCAAAAGGCCAAGGGCAATACCAGAGTACTTTCCAGGTCTGCTTCCCAAATCCAGATTATTCAGATCCTATTTATTTCATACTGGGTCCTGCTATTCTATTTTTATTAAGAAGTTCACCACAGTCACCTTATAGAACAAAGATTCATTGCTTTTGTATGCTAATAAAAGTAAATAATGCAAATTGTTGTTAATTGGATGTTTTTTTTTATAAAAGCAATTAAATTAAGATTTTGTATTACAGAGACCCAGTGGGGGAAAAAGAGAGTCTCAATACAGGGTAACTGGTGATGATCAGAATTCATGACTCAAGAATTCATTAGACCCTTAGGGAAAAGATTTGAGAAAATATTAAGAAGACTGGAGATGAAGAATAATATAATTGTACATTACTAGCAAATATCAGATTAAAAAAATGAGTGGCTATCTCATATATTGTTTACTCACACATAATTCTTTAATTTGAAAATGATGAGTATTGTTTTGGCTTAAAAACCAACACTATAATGTTCATTTCTTTCATGCCATTGATATTTACTTTTATTAGACATACACACATACATCTTCCTTTAGCTACACATATATTTGAGTCAGAGGTAGATTCTGACTTACACGTATAAGATTCAAGCTTGCTTTTTACATTTAAATTAGAAATGCTTACATGTCTTACCTTTTTCAGGACTTAATGTTGAAGACACCACACATTCACTAGTTTTAGATGCCACCATCTCCAAGTCCTTGAAGGCATCAATGGATCTATTAAAAATTCTAAAGAATTCTTCAGGAGTAAACAGCCTGAGTTCTGGGCTCTTATATGATTTTTTTACATTCTAGAAGAAGAAAAAATAGGATTATATTTTTCAAATAATCCACAGATTTAACTGGTGCCAAGGTAACAGACTATAAATATGTCCTTCAAAGAGTCAAGTAAAACTAACACTTTTAGACAACTGTTTTAACACACATAATTCAAACTGGCACTGCAGGATAGTGATCCCATACAGTTCAGTCTGGGCTCAACTCCAGATAAAAGGAAGGGGGTGGTGAGGGTGGGGGTGAGTAAGGTGAATACAACATCATAACAACAAATTAGATTCATTGTTCTTTAGAGATGCTCATTAAAATCATTATTCCTCATTAAAAAAAGAAATCCCTCCATAACATGTGCTCCAAATAGCCAAAAATTAAAAAGTCTGATGATACAAAATATTGGCAAGGATGCGGAGCAAAGGGGACGCACACACTGGTGGAATCATGTAAATTGGCACATTTGACATTATTTAGTCAAGTTGGATGTGTGCCCATCATGTGACCCAGAAATTCCACTCCTAGGTAAAGACCCTAGTGAAGTTCTCGCACATATGCGTCAGGAGACATATAAGAACATTCTTAGCAGGAGTGTTTATAAACCCTTACACATCAATCAACAGGAGAGCAGTTTAATAAATAGTGGTATATTGAATCAATGGAATACTCTATAAAAATTAATTACAGCTATATGCATCAAAGTGGATAAATCTTATAAACATAATGCTGAGTGAAAGAAGTCACAAAAGAATAAAAACAGTATGATTAATTTTTATAAAGTCCCCAAAAAAGCAAATCAAAGCTATATTTTAGGAATTCATAAATGCATGATTATCTATAAAGAAAAGCAGGTAATAATAAGAGTTAATACCTATGTAGCACTTACTATGTACCTCCCTAAGTGCTTTATATATATTAACTCAATCTCCAGAACAATTGAGAAGTACTACCTGGTACGAATCTCCTGGGTTCCAGCCAAAGTGCCATGATTAGTAAATGTACATTCTTCAGCACTTGGAATGTTCTTCCTCACATCACCATTTACTGAACACCTAACTCATCTTTCAAGCCACAAAGCGTATATTTCCTTCATGACACCTTGTTTGATACACCCTACTTTTTGTGACCTCTTTGCGTCATTGTTGCGCGCCCTCAAGTCGTCTCTGACTTTGGTGATCCTATGAATGAGTGATGTCCATAACGTCCTGTCCTCAACAGCCCTACTCAACTTCTGTAGACTCATGTCTATGGCTTCCTTTATGGAGTCAATCCATCTCATAGTTGGTCTTCCTCTTTTCCTGCTACCTTCTCTTTTTCCCAGCATTACTGTCTTTTCCAAAGAATCCTGCCTTCTCATGATGTGTCCCAAGTAGGACCTCTACTTCTTATCAACGCTATCAGCACACTATTTGAACCAATATGATACAAAAGAGATGTTAACTCTAAGACGTCATTGATTGTAATATTCATCCTGATTCAGAAATTACAAAGTAAAACAAGAGAAGTGATGAAATACACTGATTAGGTTATTAGTATGGTGATAATTCTGAGACTGGAGAACACAAATGGGACTGATGTTGGGTCTTAAAGAATAACTGGAATTTGGATGGGGAGGGAGTTTTGAGTATTACAGTACAAAATCATGTTTAAAACCTTGGGTTTAAACTTCTAGAAGGCCTGTAGGCTAAACCTCAGCTTGTGAACTCTATGTCAAAGCAGGTCTCCTAAGACCTATTCTATTATAGAAAAGGTGTTATAAAAATAATCAAAACTATTTATTAACATTTATTTTGCCAGATGTGGTGCTAAAGCACTCGTCACAAATTGCCTAATATTAACTCTAGGAGATGGATCCTCTATTGTCCCTATTTTAGGCATACAGAAAGTGAGCACAGAGGGGTTAAGTTCACAAAGCTACTTAGTGAGAGTCAGGATTTGAACTCCAACACCTCATTCTTAATCTCTAGGGGTACACTGCCTGCTTCTTCAATGTACTTAGAACCCAAGGTGCTGCCACGCCCGTATTCTGAAGTTGGTGACAAGTACCAAGTTGGAGTTGTTAAATTGTACTTTGTTGTGACTATGGATAAGAGACCAAGTATAAGTGTTCATTATAGACAATTTTCCATTTAAAGGTAACTAAACATTTGTAACCTAATAGGAAGGTTATAAGAACTTAACTCACTTATGAAGTAAAGATAAAGTCAGGGCTGTTTTTACACTGCAGTGTGAATACATTTTATTTTTATATTAAGTGACAACATATAAGTCTTAATGTACATTTCAACATTGCAGTATAACTACAAACACCTATTTTCTGTGGCCACCTTAAAAAATATTTTTAAATTAAAAGTTTATGAATTAAAAGTCACACAAATGAAGACACCCTCACCACCAGCACGAACCAGCACAGGTTTTAGAGAAGAGTAATAAAAAGCAATCCCAATGAATACAAGGTTACCTCATATGAGTGTCCTTCCATGCACTCCACAAGGTCATCCACTATTTTCACAAGTTTGTCTATGATAGAATAATTACTCAAGCCTTCAGAAATATTTGAAAACTTGTCCAGAAGATCAGTCAAGCTGACTGACAATTGTTCCACCATCTCGCTTATCCAACAATGACTAGGCTGCAAGAAATTGAAAGAAAGCAAGATAAAGCAGGTATTTTAAGTTCAGTCAACTCAGAGCACCCTCCAAAGCCATCGATGTTTCATTCATTGACTGATGGATGAAGGATTTCCATATATCAGAACAAGTCAGGGCCGGCCCGTGGCTTAGCGGTTAGGTGCGCGCGCTCCGCTGCTGGCGGCCCGGGTTCGGATCCCGGGCGCGCACCAACCAATGCACCACTTCTCCGGCCACGCTGAGGCCGCGTCCCATATACAGCAACTAGAAGGATGTGCAGCTATGACATACAACTATCTACTGGGGCTTTGGGGGAAAATAAATAAATAAAATCTTAAAAAAAAAAAAGAACAAGTCAGTTCTTGTGTTTTAACTCGGATTTACAAATGCATAAAGATCAGAGGAAAGTGTTGATGGTAAAGATTTTGCTCTTCCGTGGAAGTAAATTAAGACAAGACAGAACCAACTCTTACCCTTGACAAGGTTCAGATATTAATGGAATTCCACTGAAGAATATTTATTGTTTACTAGCTGTGTTCTTAAAAGAGCTTTAGGCACAGAGGGAATTACAAAAAATTATTGTGGGAGAGAGTCCCAGCCCTTGAGGAACTTCCAGCCTTTTGGTGAACTGGAATATGAAACAATGAATTAATACCTTATTTTTCTAAAGCGCTTGATGGATTTCAAGGCTTCTTCACAGATGAATTCATGTGGGCGTTTAAAAAAAAAGAAAAGCCCCTGCAGGAGTGTAGTCAGAGAGAAGCACTTTTGCCTTAGTGGCAGGACCAGCTACATAATTTGTGGGGTCAAGGGCAAAATGAAAATGTATTTATTGTTCAAAATACTATTGAGAATTTCAAGATGGTGACAGCAGAGTATTAAACCAAGCATGGGGCCCCGTCCAGGAAGCCAGCCCTGCCCGTTGGTTAGAAGCTCAAGGCTTGGAGTCCTTGGCATAACTGAATTTAATTCAGCTGAGAGACTCCAGGCAAGCTACATAAATTCTCTGAACTTCACTTTGCCTGTCTATAGAACGGGAATAATGGAACAAGGTAGTTGTGAGGAGATAATGTACATAATTCGAATATAAGTTTCATGAGGACAGTATTTTTATAAAATATTGTCCCCTCCAGTGGCCCTAGGGCCTAGAACAGGTCTGGCATATGCGAGTTGCTCAGAAACTATTTGCTGACCTGATGTATAAGCAAATAAAAAATAAATGAATGAGAAAAAATACTCTCTATTAGGGGATCCACACTTTATGTAAAGGGCTAGACAGTAAATATTCCAGGCTATGCACTCCAAGAGGCAGAAACCAAGGATATTACACAGGTATGCTTATACAAGAGAAAACAAATTTCCACAAAATTTTTATTACAAAATTAAAAATGTAATAATAATTGAATATATTTTCTTTTGCAAAATAACTGAATTGAATTTCTTTTGCAACACAGGTCTACCAATAAGAAGAATGGAATTCTTTATTTGGGCCAACATTTTGCTTACTTGGGGTTCAAAGTCAGCATTCTCTATCATCAAGTAGATTCAAATGCTCATCTATAAACACCAATCCCAGCTGGCTGGCCATAAAAAAAATCAGTCAGCAAACTGGATCTAGCCTATGGAGTGCAGTTTGCCGAGCCCTGCTATAAATAGCTGTAGATCAATATAGGCTTAAATTATTAGGCAAAACTTCTTAGTATATTAGAAAGGATTTTAATATTTTTAAAATATATGTGACATTACTTAAAATACAATAGTTGGTCATAAGTTCACATACTTCACATATTTTAACATTATCTTTTACAAAGATCTTTAAAGTGGAGGCTCTGATTTATTTTTTTAACTCTGCTAAAATGTTACAGTGAGAAAAATAAGACAAGCATAGCTCAAATTGACTTGGCTTATTAAAATCCTATTTAATATAACTCCTACTGTAATAAATATATTGCAATCATAAAGAGTACTGATGCCATGTAAAACAAATCAAACCACGAACCTTTTTCTACTTAACAGCAGAATATCTCTGTGGGGGAAGGTCAAGTAATTTATTTATTCTGAATTATATAAGTGGGCCATTTTATATTCATTTAACAGAACAGTCTTAATTAATATAATACAGCCAAAAAGGAAACTGGTTTATCTACAAATAGGTAAGCCCTAATTGCTGGAAGCATTCAGTGTCATTCAAAACTTTTAGGATTCTTGGCTCTGGCTTCAGATAAGTAGACTAAACAAACCTCCAAATGGGAATTAGTTCAATTAGGCCATTTCATTCAACTCATCAACCAAGTTCTCAAAGACTATGTGTTTCCAAAGTATATTCAGAATGGATTCTTTGCTTTGTTAAATCAACGCTTATCTCATGCATGTGCAAGTTCATATTTGCATCATTAACAAGTCTCTCTTCAAGCCGTCAGTCTTTCCTTTGGGGCTGAAATGCTCTCCAAGTTTCACTCCATTTAGGGAGGGACAATTCTCTTTAGACATTCAGCCCTATCAGCAAGGGGCAGATTTCCTAGAATATGGGATACAGCACATACTGTAAATATAGTTTGAATGGTATTTATATGGTAGAACAGCCTTCCACCAATTAGTTCATTCTGTTGTAATGGCGCAAAGTTTTCTGTGGCGAGCCAACTCTCCGTATTAATCTCTACAAACTCTCCTTGCTTCACTTTGTGAATATGCTGGCCTATCCTTCTCTTGGATTTCTGACATGTAGGAACCAAAATCAAATGCCTTTGTTTTGAACTAAGATACTCCTTTTGTTTCTGTGGTCTTTGCCTTAAATGAACAGGTTCCTTTTTTTTCTTTCTTTCTTTTTTATGGTTAAAATAGAAAAGCTTTTATTTACAGGTTTCTTATTTTTTTTAAACTGGGGAACTCTAGGGTGCTTAAGTACCACTTCTGTTTATCTCTATTTTCAACTGAAGTCTATGTTTACATTCTGTATTCAGGTTCTTATTTAGCCATAACTACACCCTCACCGCCACCCACCCTCTGTTTTCACGTATCTAATCAACTGTCCAAGCAATCAACCTTTTCCAAGAAATTTTCAACCCTAAACCTGTAATTTCTTACACGATCTAATTCTAGCCCAATATCTGCCCTTTTAAAGTTACGAACAATTTGTTGATATGAACTTCTGGACTACAGTGCTGAATAATATATTTCTAAAAGTCTTATAATTCTATTTCATTCATTATTCACCCTTGCTACAATTTCCTCAGAAAAGACTACTTCAATTCAAAGTTCTATCCTTTCATTAATTCGTTTAAACAGTTATATTTTAGCTTTTTAAGATTCTTGGATTTATTAAAGATAAAACTGAGGTATACAAATAATATTAAATATAACCCAGTTTTGACCTGTCTGAGAGGGAACCAGTTTTGACTAGAACAGCAAGCAGTTTGGTAGTTTCTTTTTAATTAAACATAGTCAATGATTTGCAAAGAGAACAAAATGTGAACTAAATATTTCATTTGTGAGATGACAGGAGGTCTTTGTTTTTCAACTCTTCCAAGATTATGATTAGGAAATAGATGATTAAAGGTTATGAAATTCAAAAATGTAATTTTTTCCTTTGCCTTAATAACAGGCATTATCGTCACTATTTCTTATCTTTCAGAGACCATTTTAAACCTAAATAGTTCTATAGAAATATTAATTCACAACATTCATTAGAAGAATATAAAATATATTAATGTTCTCTATTTCACTAGCAGAAGAAGGTGAGGATTAGGAAAGTTGACAAAGCCACACAGGATATCAAAGAGGTGATGTAAAGAATACCTTTCATATTCCTGAAGTACATATAATTCAATGTTTTATTCACTCGTATACACACAAAAAGATAGAGTCGGGCCCTCAGTATCTGTGTGTCCTGCAACCCTGGATTCTGTGGGGTTGCAGAACCCACAGATTCTAACTGCGGACTGAAAGGCCTACGATGGGTGTGTCTGTACTGAACATGTGCAGACTTTTTTTGTCATTATTCCCTAAATAATACAGTACGACAACTATGTACATAGTATCTACATTGTTTTAGGTATTATAATTAATCTAGAGATGATTTAAAGTATATGGGAGGATATGCACAGGTTATATGCAAATACTACGCCATTTTATATAAGGGACTTGAGCGTCCAGGGATTTTGGTATCCACAGGGGTCCTGGAATCAATTCCCCGCAGATATGGAGGGACGACTGTACAGTTCTTGCTTTGAAAGGGAAAACTTATCCGGATTTTCCTTCACTCCACACTCTCAATTTCTTACTTTCTTTCCTTGTAGCTTCTGTCATATTTTCCAGGTTAATTACAACAGCTTTAGCTAAGACTAGAACAACACACACTTTCTCTTCCTATGTGTTTATAACATGTTATCATTCGAGAATGCTGACTGAATCGATACTGAATCAATATCCTTGACCTACTAGCATGCCAGGACCACTAGCTGAAGATTTGGTTAAAAACTGTGAACTTCCCCAGAGATTTTAAAGTGCTCTGAGCACCAAATTCATAATTTAACTAAATGATTAAATAAAAGAGACAAAAACTAATATAATTGAAAGCATTCTAAACATAACTAGGAATATGACCACTTCTGAAAACCAACAATGAAAATATCCATGCACATTCTAAGACAATATATAAATTTAAAATAGATGATATATGAATTTCACAAGATGTGTGATATAACACTTCTGCAGTCCTGGAACTGGTAAATTTGAAACCCTAGCTGAAATAAATTGTGTGCTTTAAAAACATCCTGGGGACTTGCTAAGTCTGGCCTCCTTTCTCCTCTCCACTCCCGGCTTCATTCAAGAAACTGTTCTGGTTTATTAGTTGAAAGAATTTGACACGTTATTCTGCATCGGTCTTAGATGCAGAGACAGTCTGTAACAGCCATCACCACAAGCTACATGGAATTAGAAGGTGCAAGTCAACAAAATATAACTTTTCTTCACGAATGCACTTGGCATTACTTTCCATTGGTAA